CCACTTCTATATCGTTAAGGCAATAACTAGAGGATTAACAAAACTGTGGATCATACAATAAGTTCCCTAGTTTAGGTGTTTGAGACCTAAGTTACTATTTTCTCATGGGAAGAGAGAAGGCTATAATTTATATGTGGAATCCCAAGAGATGTCCTTTAAGAACATTTAATGAAATAAGGCCATAAAGGAACTATCCGAGGAATGGTCAGTAATAGAAGTGTTTGACCTACCTAATGGAATAAGCCACATGTTAAGAAGCAAAAAACTTGGTGTATGACTGCATGTACTGAATTCTATAGAGAAAAAGACAAATATATCGAAAAGTCACCACTTAATTAGTCACACAAGCAGAAAGTTAAGTCAAAAGTAATGCATCATAGACATAATATATTCAAATATTACCGTGTAGTTAGGCTGATGAAAGTCATCCTTGTGCACATTTTGCAACGTTCTAAAGATATGGTGTGCTGGAGTATCATAACGCCCTTTGCACAAATCAAGTCCCCCAACAAAAGCCATAATCTTTCTCTGGTAATTACCAGCATCTGCATCCACTATTACAGTTTTCTGATGATGCGTGTATATTGTTTCAGTTTCCTGATGACAAAAATCAAAGTGGTTCAGTACATAAGCCAATCTCAGGAGAGACTAAGTACTTCAGAAACAAATACACAGGCAAGAAGAAGAAGCTACACAATGGAATATACTCATTCAAGAAAATTCTCCATTTTCATGAGTAAATATAAGCTTCGGAAACTTCACCATTTACTGATCAATCTATATTACAGTGCCACGAGAACCGTGAGAATTGGAGACACAAGTACAACAGTTGCCAACATGATATGGTTGGGAAATACAAAAGTCCCAGAAATGGTAATTAAATACTGTATGCATAAGTCATAAGTCATAAGCGAACCTGCTTTTTGGCCCAGCTGTGTCCTTTTCCAGCAGAACGAGGGCAAAGTAGCACTTGCACTGAAGAATGCTTAAAATAGCGACGAGTTTCTTCATCATTAGTTCCCATTATTCCTTCCTACATATCACAAAGAATTCATTAAGGCTTCTTTCATAGAAGTGGCCTCGCAGAGAAAAATATATACTGCTTCTAGTTTTATCATGTATAATAAAGCTACTGACTTAGAGTCAAAAGGATAATAATTTACAATATTTAAGGTTATACAATGAAAGTATGATTATCCTGTAGATAAATCTGCTCTAGTTGTGCATTCTTGATAGTACAGAGAGTAAGAATTCATGCTACAAAGAAATACATGTTTATGAAACTCAACAACCCGAAATGTAGGTAGAATCTATGTTAGATTATACTAATTTAATTGCTCATTCCTGAATGGCATACGGATAAAAATTATTCAGCGATTTGATTCTCCCTTTATCAATTGACTGAGTTAAGTGTTCTATCTATGTTTCTCAAGCAAAAGTTCAATTTTTTTCTTTTGATTACCTAACTATTATTGCTCAAAGAAAGCAAAAAGAGATGATACTATGGTAAAAAAAAACAACAGAAAACTGTCTCTAGGTACTTACAGTACTTACAGTTTTGTATCCCAAAATGCTCTTAGAAGTTGGATCATCCCATATGAGCAGCAGTACTCTCACACCTTCCTGGGACTTCCTCTTGAGAATTTCCCCCAACATACTCTTCTCAGCATTGTCATTATCCCGAACAAGTGTAACTAGGTGGGTGACAGACCATCCTGTAATGTAAATCAACCGACGAGCTTGAGTGATTGCATCAAATATATCCTGCCAGCACTGTCCATGCTGATACTGCACTCTATTTTCAAGCCACAAGTTCGGGAGGCTGCCTTCAGGTACATGAGCATCCTGATAAAGTGTTACTTTGCCACCTCTTCTAAGAGGGAAGTAAGTCCCCGGCACGCCCTGATACTCGTGATCTCCCCCCACACCACCATGATAAAGGGGTACCCTCTCCATTGGAGTGAATTGAATTGATAGAGTAAGTACAGCTCCCTCCTTACATGGCTTCCCACTACTATTAAGAACTGGAAATGTTCCCTCAATCATTGCACCAGAACATAGCTGCTCTACAGAAATTCCCACAGCACCAATAATTTGTGATCCTACAACATCATTATCTTTAACAACAAAGTGCACTTCTGATGCATAATGTGCCACTGGTACATAAAAATGCTGCATCCATACCGGATTTTCGCTATTGTTAATCACATAGGTCCTAGCAACTACAGCATTAGATACTGAAACTGTGACATAAGGATCACTAGTAATTTTAGGAGATCCTTCTTTTTTACTACCAAGTTTTGCCAATCCTCCCAACAAGTTATCCAATTTCTTATGAAATAAATCCATGTTTGGCAAATTCCTAGCCTCCCTCACCCAAATATCCAAGTTTCCATGCAACAACAATACCCTAAGTGATCCTGCTGATGTCTTAAATGGGACAACCTGGACCCCATGTTGTGAACTTCCAGACATAGATTCAGAATAAGAGAATTGAGCCATAAAAACACCTCCTTTTAGAAAGTCAAAATTATATATAGCAGTAAGGACAAAGCATACACCAAAATAGGTAATCACTCAAGAATCAGTCACAATCAATGTAAAGATCTCAACTTTAACTCAAATAACAACCCCAGTCAAAAAAACAAATCTTGAAAATAGAAATTTCTCAAACAAAGAAAAAATTAACAGAATGGAGCAAAAAAGATCAGCAAGAAAGCTTGACAAACCAAAATAACAAAACCCCAGATGGGAAATGATGACCAAAAGTTGTACCAGAGGATATATAGACCAAAAAAGTTGAAATTGGAAAATGGGGTTTCGAAAAAAAATTGACTTGGTAAAAGGGCTGCTGAAAATGAAAGGAACTGAGAAAACAATGAATACAAGAAGATGGAGTTGAACAAGTTGGACCAAGAATTTTCCTTTAGAGTTTGTATTAATTAATAATTAATCAAGTAGACCAAGTTGAACAGAGATATAATGGTATTAAATTCATGTAATCCATTTCTTGGATTTAGTTTTGAAAGGTTTGAACTTTTGAAAAGTTTGAATTAGGCATCCATAAATTACAATTAGTACTAATTAGTACATATTAAAGCTAAAAGTTACACTTTGTAATGAGATTCCAAAAGTGGGCTGCTAATTCAAAGAGAAAAAAAAAGGTGTTTCTTAGAAACTTCTTGTGTTAATACTCCGGCAGCCGTTAATGTTGTGCCGGCCGCCAGGAAGACAAATAGTTGGATGGATCAAAGAAATTGATTGGAGAAAGGGAAATACTCTCTCGTTCCTATTTAGTTGTCATTATTTTAGGTTTCATGCCTCCTAAAAAACTATGTAAATTTAACATAGTATCCTTATTTAATATTTTCTTAAGTCAAAAATTTTTAAATGAAAATTTGACCAATGAACATAAATTAATTATTTAGTTTTTCTATGTTGGATAAATGTATACTTTCAAAAGGTAAAATAAGTAGAATAGTGTCTTTATACATTGATTTTGTAAAATGACAAATATTACGGATCATTTATTTTCGGTAAAGATGACATAAAAAATAGAAATAGAGGGAGTAAATCTCTTCCATAATTTTACTAAAAGGAAAAAGTTTGGAACTCTATATTCTCTCGGCAGTTTTAATATTTTTCTTTCGTATTTGTATTATTTATCATATGTAGGTCAATTGACCAAATTGATATCATAACAAAATTATAGTTTTTTTCCGTCTAATTTATCACTCATGATTTACAATTATAAGCTTCCATATTATGTTTTGATTCTTTTGAATCGAATAAAATGAGAGGGTGAATATAATTGAACATCATCTAATGATTTTTTCGCCATACAATTTGAATCATAAAAATTTATGATTTTCATTTGATTAACTTTAGACGTGCAAAAAAAAAGAAAAATGGATAATTTTGAACAAAGAATTTTCTCAGGAGTTAAGATGGTCAAACGTTTTTATCAAACGTTACTAGTTTCAAAGTCCCTAATCCCATATTTTAATTAGCTCAAATGACATCTGTTGATTTTTTTATTTGGATTTTTTTAAGTGTTAAATAACCTGCTACTAGTAGGTTAGGAAGACTTTTCTCTAATTACAATAAAAATTAGTACATTAATAGTGACTAGAACAATTAGTCAATTAATCTAGAAACTCGTGAAAGAGTGCATATTAAGCAAGTAATGAATTTTTTATTTTTATTTTTTTCAACTTTCATGTGAAGATATTGATATAGAAAGTTCACATGAATTGGATTTTATTTATTTTTATGACAAAGGAAACCCGCAGTCGCTATCATTTTGGTGCGTACAGGGTAAAACCCCCGCGCCTATGCAATAACTCGCAAACCACATAGGAGAGGTAAACCGCACTATGTAAGTCTGGTGCGACGAGCTCGACCCAGAAGGCAAACCCCTTGCTTTCGCTGGCAAGGGATTTCGAACTTGAGACCTCCAACATGGAAGTCCCAAGCTCAAATCACTGGGCCTTTTACTAGTTTTTTAAGAATTTTAATTTTTAAAAGTTCTGGAAATAAGTCATGAGATACTAAGAAGAATTTGATGACAAAAAGTCTCTGAAAATAACTCATAGTCAAATAACAAATGTTCTTAGAAAGAAAAAGGAAAATGTCATATTTCATTTCGCAAGCTTTTATCATTGTAAGTCAACTAAGTATGACCTGATTAGCCTTGTGCGGTTAGGATTCAAACTTTTGAGGCGTTTTATGGGTTAAAGCCCAAGAAACAAAACCATGATGCCCAAAAACCTCGACGCTACCAAAATAAATCGGGCCAAAACAGACAATATCTTGATAGTTGAACCTGAGATTTTCATAAAATAGCAAGTGCTAAATAAACAAGAAAAGAACACAAATGTTTATAAAAAAAAAACTTCCAATTTTCATGTTTGAGATACTAAAAAAAGTTGAAATAACATCTTCAGTACTCTTATCTGTTTGTTTGCAACTTTGTATGATACTTTTCTACTTAGAAAACATTGAAATACTAAGCAATTACCAGCATTACAAGAAAAAGTGTCAATACTCCATAGCTCAAAAGTACAGTTAGTTTGTATACTGAAAACACAAATCTACCATATATGTTTACCAATTCTGAGTACCATATATTACAATCCGTCCTAAACTACGCGAATTACCTAACATTTTCCCCATGTCATAGAGATCACAATTGACAGTTCAGAATTCTTCATATCACCATCATGATACCTATATATCTGTTGCTTGATTTTGACGTTTGTTTTTTTATCTCTTGCGTTTGGACTTTAGAGATGTCACAGACTGTGAGTTGCTATGCCAATTGCGCTTTCTTTGATTGATGAACCAGTTATTGATTTGCTTCAGCTGTAATCCTGTTTCCTCCACAAGTTTTGCCTTATCATCCTCCTGCAAGAATTTGCTTTTTAGTAACAACATTCACTTTGTAACCTATGTTGCTCAGACTGTTCAGAAATGTATATGAGTACGTGTTGAATCCTTCAAAAAGTAGTATTTACATTTTTTGTGGGAGTTGCAACAACAATTTTGGAGAGTCTACGCGACATATGATCAATTGATTAGGTGACAAAACTTACAGTTGGATAAGGCCATTTTGAGTGTTGTTGCCACCAATTCTTTAGAACAGTAGTGGTGTCACCAGGCAACTTTCCTGCCCTTCTCTTTCTCAATATCTCCTCCCTCACATCTTCAATTCTTGATCTAAATCCCTGCAAGAACCAACATTTGGTAACTATCAACAGCAGAACCAGAATTTTCACTAAGGCGATTCAGAATATAAAGAAGTAAACATATGAAAAAATTACTTAAAAGAATTCGTCATCTGCTATATACATGCATAAAAAATAATTTTGACCTTCTATATATAGTACTAAATTAGGGGGTTTGAATGAACCTCTTACGTCCCCTAACTCCGCCCATGATAACTATGATATCCAAACTATGCATGTCAATTGGACAGATTCAGCCCACAACTGACAGGCCCAATCTGATAAGGAGGCCCAAACTAACCCAACCCATTACTTACAGGAAATATTAGACTGTCATCTAACATTTATACTAACTATACGAAATTTTAGATCATAATCTAAAATTTTGTGTTTGAGCAAAATGAATCGGATCTTTAGACTATGATCTAAAGGGTTCATAAGTTGCATAGAGAAATAAAACGAGGGTCATGTACTAAATAGCTTCCCTAGAAGGGATAACTCGCGAAAATTTATGTCAAACTTCTAAAGAAAAATGCCTAGTATAATTCTTTCTTAACGAGCCTTATGCAGCGAGAATCCAAATTAGTTAGAGCTAGTAGATATCGGATACTAGATGATTAGAAACAAAAAAAAACTTGTTAGAGGAGATGACCTGTTTGAGCTCAATTTTGAGTTCTTGTCTGACCCTCTCCATTAAAGACCTTTCAGATTCAGTAGGAAGACCAAATCCCATTCCCATTAAGTCATGTGCATCACCTCCAGATACATCTAATGAAAAATCCATTTGTAGTTCATCTTCATCATCAGACATTGTAGCACCTGTTCCCTCTCCAAGGGTTGCTCCTGATCAAGATGGAAAAAAAACGTTTCAAAAGGAAAGATATATTCTTTTTTAAATAGGTTAAAAAAGGTAAATAAAACGAACAAATTGAAACTGAGGAAATAGCTAATAGTACTATCATTAACCTTTTGGCTTTTACATGCATGCATAAAAGGTAAAGCATGTATTGAATAGTCCTCATGATTGAAAAAATAGATGGTGTAAAAAAAAATGCGTTGTCTTCTTAATAACTTAAATCCATTTCGCAAATGACATTAGGAAAAAGGATTGTGACTCATATCTTGTGGCAAACCCTTAACTTCGTAGTCTCTCCGTTTAAAAAAGAATGACCTAGTTTAACTTGATACGGAGTTTAAGAAAATAAAAAAAAAACTTTTCAATATTGTCGTCCAAAATAAAGTTATGTCAAATGTACCAAAATGTCCTTTAATCTTGTGGTGATCTTAAACATGTTGAGTTAAAAGCTGAAATTAAAATGTTACCAAAACAGGAAATGAATCATTTTTTTTAATAAGACTAAAAAGGGATATATGTGATTTTTTTTAAACGGAATGAGTATTTTATTTCATCTAATGCTTTCTCTAGGTGCCAAATGGTAGGTTATATAATTGACATGAGTCCCCTTTTATAGTAAACAAAATGTGGTGAAGGAATAATAATAAAAATATATCATTAGCAACTCGTGTAGTAAAACCTGCATGAGTTGTTTGGACATGAGTAGTACTAGTCCCCCTTTGATACTCCCTCCGTTTTACGTTGTTCGTCTTATTTTAATTTGATATTAATTTGATACGTAATTTTAAAAAATAGGTTTTAAATTAAAGATAAATAAAATATCTTTTGACATCAAGAGAAGAATCCTCCTCCCAAATAATGAATTTGAGCACATGGAGTCATCAAAATGTCTTTAATTTTGTGGTCTTAAACATGTTATGCGGAAACTAGATGTCAAAAAAGGAAAGAAACATTTTTTTAACAGATTAAAAAGAAGAATAAGACAAACAAATTGAAACGGAAAGAATAATTAACAAAATATGGTGGAGGAAAGCAGCTCAAGTTGGAAAACCAACCTTTTATTTAGTAACTTAATCATCAAGTAATACACAACATCTTTTTAGGTGGATGGCACTAATTATATTTGGCTAATTACCATATCATATACACAATATATATATATATATATATATATATATATATAAACATGATTGGAAGCAAAAAATATTAATCAATATGTTTGTTAGATTAATCCCCAAGCAGTGAATCAGAAGTCACAAACAAAGCTAGAAAAATAATAAAGTGTTCTAGAAACTCAATATTCTAAAGTAATTATATTTAATAATTATTAAGACCTTATACATATATGTATATATATATATATATATATATATTTCAAATTTCTTTTCTAGGTCCCACTACCACCCAACTCTCAAACTTGGACTATGGCACAAACAAGAACCCAAAATCTGTGTTGCTTGAACTTTTCAAAAATATTATTGAGTGCATATCGGGTGAAGATTCAACACGAATGCGACAATATTTTTGCAAAGTCCAAAATATCCTAAGCATCAAACATGAACAAATTCACTCAATTAATTACCATGCATTACATCAACACATTATAAGGTTCACATATTTCCCACAGGTATTCATGTTTCGCTAAGATGGAGTGATACATACCCGATGGTCGTTTGGTAGAGTGTATATGCTGAAATAGTTATGTTGAGATTATTATTTTTCACTATTTGGTACTCTCTCCGTTCTATTTATGTCACGATTTTTGATTTCACGTGCATTAAGAAATTAAGTAAGTTTACTATTCTATCCTTATTTAATTTTTTTGAAGTCAACTTTTAATCAATTTATTTTGATTGATTAATTTGATCAATGAACATGAATCATTCACTTAGTTTTTCTATGTTGGTCAAATGTATATTTTCAAGGTTAATAACTAACAAGGGTAAAATAGGAAGAATATTGTAATTTATGCATTGATTTTATGAAATGACAATTATTATGGACCAACTATTTATAGTAAGCATGACATATAAAAAGGAACGGAAGGAATAGAATTTTCAATCTGTGTATAATGAATACACCCTATTCAGTATTATTGAGTGTTAATTAATTTGTAGCAAACCATGATATTGGTAATACAAGTGTTTTTAATATATACATGAACAAGCATGGTTAAAGACAGAGTTATCCTTAATACATCAAATCAAATCGAAAATAAAAAATAATCTCAATATTATATAATTACCAAAACGCTCTATTCAGTATTATTCATATACCTCTACCAAATGAACCCCTTTAAGAATATAAAGAATGGTAGTTTAACTTGCTATAGCCAATATAGTTTATTGTCTTGCTCTATTATCCAAATAACCATTTCTACTTTTATGTATAATTAAATGACTATGATAATATTATTGTAGTTAAGCTAAAAGTTAAAAAAAAAAAAAAGTTCTCAAACATACCTGTAAGAAGCTGTAAATTTTGCTCAATTTCACGGCAGGCCATAACAGCTTCAACAGCATGGACTCTGACATGCTGCTGAAGCTGTTCTTTAAACGAACACAAAACTAACAAATACTGTGCCTGTTACAAAAAAAAAAAAAAAATATTCCATCACTACCACCATTTCAGATTTGCAACAAATCTGAAACAACAAAAATAATAGCACAAAATAAATTACCAAGAAATTATCGAGCTCTTGTCTTTCATGATGAGAAAGCGAATGATGTTGTTGCTGCTGCTGCTGTTGAGAAGAAGCATAAGATCTCAATAAATGATGAGATTGCGAGAGCTGAGCATCAATTAATGGCAACTGATCAATCGGCGTAGCTACACGAAGACATGCTACATGTGCTGAAAGTAGCTGTTCATACAAAGGATGTGTAGCAATTTCACCTTTCAATTGATTTTGATGATTCAAATTCCGATTATGATGATCCTCCGAAGAAATCATCATAGATGAAATATCACCGCCACCTAAACCAGTAGTACTACTAGAACCCATTAGCCCTAGTCCTCTTTGTTCTTGTTGCATATTATTTTCTTTTGTTAATCTTCACAAATATAAATCTGTGTCAATTTTGTTTTTTTCTTCTTCTATCCAGCAGCAGCAACACTGGTGAAAGAGAAAAAAAAGAGAATCTTTTATGTACTATTTTCTTCTGATTTGATGTATATTTTTGATGAAGAAAATCATAAAGCCACTCAGTGATTTTACTATTCGAAGCTTAAATTTATATTGGGATCTGAAACAACATAACTTTCTGCAGAAATACTGAAAACTCTAAACACATAAGCAGAAAAAAATTAAACAAAAAAAGATATATATTTTGGGATTTATTGGAAAAAGAGAGAAGAAGGATGAGTGGAATTATTACTATGAAAGGGAAGCAAGAAGAGAAACGTCGGTAATGATATCATAGATAAAGCTGTTTGTATCTGTGGCCTGATATTTTGTCCATTTTTATTTTATTTTTAAAAAATAATAATTTAAATTTAACTTTTAAGATGGGCTAATATTTAAAATAGAAATAATTGACACTAATCTTGATTTAAGATAAGGTTATTGGTAAGATTAGGTGATAGAATATTGGGTATTCTTTAAGCATACATATTTAATTTGAACCTAACTCTAGACCCTTATTAAAAGCTTTTAATTTAATGTGGCCATTATTTTTTTCCGCTCGATATTTAATATATGTATTAAAATTAGACTATATTTAAATTGAACTCAAAATCTCTAATTAAATATGAATTACTTATCATTAGCTCTACTTTTTCCTCATATTTAAAAGTACTTTCATTTTTATGTTTTGACTTTGAGATAACCTACTTTGATAATTTAATGTTTGTAAGGAAATTTCACTTTTATACTTCATTTGATCCTTAATCTAAACCACCAAACACCTTCATTTATTTCTTGGTTTAAAACTTTACTTGATTTGTAAAATAAATTTTCCTAAACAAAATGTCTTCGAAGCTAGAACTAATTATATCGTGCTCTTTTATTATCTGGATCAAATAAATCGTAAAAGTTTAATTTATGTCATGATTAACTTAATTTTAACTTCTAGAAGTCATATAATTTATCACGAACAACATAATTGCAAAATAACAACAAAAATTCACCGGAAATTCTATTTTATGATAGATTATCGACGATCTATCAAAAAAACTTGTTAACTACATATAATTTAGCAACATAATCGTAAAAATAATGTATTTTCAATATTCTAATTTCTAACTATATATTAAATGAAAAAAAAAGAAGGAGTTGAGCTGTCACAGTTCCATGGCTGGTATATAATTTTCAAGTTTAGTCTATTTTCTACGCAATTTAGTAACAATTTTATGTACCAATAAAACCCCCCATGTGTTAACTGTTTGTTAGGCCACACATGACCCCCTACCTACTAATTACTATGTCACATATGTTTCATAAACAACAATTATATCAAAGTCTTTTTCATATAAATTCTTCTTCTAAATCAAAATTATATTATATCATATACACATCAAAATTAAACAAATCTCCCCTAAGTGGGCCACTAATAATAAAGATGTGAAAAAGCTAAGGTTTTCGCTAGGCGACGAAGCTCACATAATATCGCATTATATTATTGAAGTTATTATTTTACTTTTCTAATCTTCGATGACCTTCCTGTATAGAGAAGGAGAAATGAGGAGGGAATTTCAAGATTGATAATCGAACAATCACCAATAACGTGAAAGTTCAAACAACCAATCAACTGAGCTACATTAAAATTATCCGATGATCTTCATGTTGAATGATGGATGTTAAGGAAATTATTTTGTTTTGTATTTTTGGAAATAATTTATTGTGAATTAAATGTAGGTATATATAGTAATTAGATATATATTAATTCTTTGATATATATTATTTCACTATTGATTTAGGAGTAAGCAAACATAATATGAAAGTAGAAAGTGAAATAAAACCTTTTTTTTTCTTTACATAATTAATTGTGTTAGTTTGGTTTATGTGGTGAAGTAGCGGAGGGAACAAGAAATAATATTTTTTGTCAAGAAAATGTTTGGTAGTAATGGAGAATGCCTCTTAATTCAAATAGTTTATTATATGCTACAATTTCAAGCTTCCTAGATGAGTTGGTTGGTTTTAAAAAATTCAAATTTTATTTAGAGGTCAGACTCGATACTTATTATAGGTACATAAAAATATAACTTTATATATAACGTGGTTTTTTAGCGAAGGAGTTTGTTTAGAACAAATCGATCTAAATTCGATGATTTGACTCCTTGTTTATGTTAATCATTTTTTATCATTAATTCATAATGCATTTTAAAAAGCTCTCCATAAGTACATGCTAATATTTCTAAGAAGTCATTAATTAATCCCTACTTGAATGATTAAACTTAATCTCGAAATGGTTGATTAAAACACAAAGTCTTTATAGTTTTAATTTGAAATTCTATAAGCAGAAAGGTAACATCAAACTTTTAAAAGTAAAAATTAATTTCTAACTCGAATCTTTCTTTTGTTATTTTGTAGAACAATGGGAACTTTCCCATTTGTATTCAAGGTAATGATGAGGATAGCATAGTAATTGAGCATTATTAGAAATTTAAAATCAACGACATAATTTAAATCATATTGTATAAGATCCATTCAAATGAAAAGGCATTATTTACAACAATTTTCTCTACTTTTAAGTACTGTACCCGGGACTTCTATTTTTTCTATTTGTACGTGTCATTTTTGCGCAGAAAACATGCTAATCTTCTCTGCATTGTTTCAATTTTATTGGATGTACCCGAGACTTCTATACCATGAACTTTAGACACTTTTTTTGGTCCCTCAATTATTATGTCTTTCGAAACAATCTTTATACCTCCTCGAGATAATAGTAAGATCTGCGTACACTCTACTCTCCCCCAGACTCCACTTAATGAGATTTCCCTTGATATATTATTGTTGTTGATCCTTCAATTATTAATAAATTTTAATTTTAGATATTGTGATATCTAGTTAAATATACTTAACTTTCAATTAATTGAAACGTATACTTTTGATCCAGGTTCATAAATGTTCACAAATTTACCATCATTATTTATAATTCTACTATTTTATTATTATTATATTATTAAACTTGCATTATTACTACATATTTGACAATTTGGAATATATATTTTTTCTAGTGACAATTTGGAATATGACAAAATATCACTCCATCATACAAAGAATTTGTAGTGACAATTTGGAATATTATTATTTTCTTCTTCTTTTTAGAAGATCAGAAAATGAATAGAACAACTTTTCTTTTTCTTCAATAATGTTTATGATAGTCTTTTCCTTTAATGATTTCTGCAGCCATGAAAAAAGTAGTAGTGCCATATTATGTGTCTGTTTATAATTTCTAAAAGTGTACAAACACTAAAATTCCGTATTTGAATAATGGTCGATTCAAAAAAGGCCGTGATCATTAACTGATACAATTAGTCGATTTTTTTTTACTCGCACTCGATATACAAAATAATACTATACTTTATCATGATTAAGTAATAAATTAGGTCTAAATGTGCTATTTAATTATAGTTAGACAGAGATTTTTAAAAATGTATCAAGACACTTGTTGTATTATCATTGGTTTAATGTAAATATCAGATACGGAAAAAAGTTCTCATAAATAGTCTTCCAGAAAATCAAACTATTTTCGATCTAATTTCTCAAAAAGCAAAAGAAAATACGATGTACTATTTTGTCATGTCATTTCAATCGCAAAAAGACATGATATTTTATTTTTATTATTTTATTATTATAAAGAATGTGGGTACAATTTTATTTAGTTTTTCATTAATATTGATTCTTATTTTAGAATTGTTCCTTATTATCAAACTAATTAGAGAGGATGCAATAACTAATTAGGATGGAAATTAAGAGCTTGTATGATACGAGGAAAAAAGATGATTAATTTTAGAATAAAAATGATCACGAATTAACTTATCCTAAAATTATTAAGCTATTTTCATTCCACATTGAGGCTGAAATAATTAATTAGGATAAAAACTAATTAACTTGTTTCATGTATTTACAACAAATCAATTAACATAACTTGTGTCATTATTTTAGTAGTACGAATCAGTCTCAATAAACCATAAAACCATAGACATATTTCTATTGAGAATGACGTGTACAATTAACACTAATTTCAACAAAATTGTCAAGAAAAAGAAGAGTGGAAAGTTGGTGCACCAGTGGAACTGTTTCATCCTTAACCAGAGATCTTGAATTCGAGATGTGAATATGAAGAAAGTTCAATTGAAAGCACCACCCTTAAATGATTCTTGTCATCCGAATTTAATCGAGACTCGAGAGATCGAAAGGCAAAAGAAAAAGTAGATATAGTGCAATAGTGAACAGTAAATGTTAGTTGAATAGATGGAGGTGGGGTTAACATCATAGCTGTAGGGTTGTCATATTCTCAGTCCTAAGATTGAGACAAAAGGTTAGTATGGTCCCCTACACATAACTCCTTTTTTTTTTTTTTTGAAAATTTATGTAAAATAAAAATAATTTGTGTAGGGGGTGGGGTGGGTGGGGGGTAGAGGGGTATTGTCCCTTTCATTATCCCCACATATCCTGACTTTTCTCTCTGCCATATGAAATTTTAATATCTTCTCTTTTGCTTTTTTCTGTCTCCTTCAATTAATGATATACTCCAAAGTCAATAAAAACTTTCTAATCATGCTTAACCTAAATCATTTATTTTTGTGTTCCAATGCAAAATCCCAAACTCTAACTTATTAGATTGCAGTTTAATTAGTGCACTAATTATGGGACATGACTATAATTATGGTGAAAAACTATATATGATGTACCCACCACTTGAAGATAAGGTGTACACACACTTTTCCATACCTTGTTACATAGGTTGCTTATGTCTGAGACATAATCAGAATTTGAAGTTTATGAGTCTGAGATTTTAAATCTTTAAAGACGTCTTTAGAACAGACAACCAAACTGACATAAGAATTCCAACCCACGCCCATATAGAGCAGATGGAGATTCTTAGACTGGAAAAGGCAGCATTTTTTTCTAGCAATGTATGTGAGCAAACGTCAAAAAGAAAGTGCAACAGGGTGTAACATGTGAGCAATGTTAGAAAAAAAGTTGTTGACTTTGCCTTAAAACCAGAATTTCCCTGCTATATACGTTCTGTACAAAAAAAAAAGTCGAAAATGTAACTTGAATCAATACGTTTGCTACTTCAGTTAACACGAGAGTGATTAGGAAGACAAAAGTTACGTTTGCTACTTCACAAACACACTAAAGAGGTGCAGTCTTTTACATCACAATACACTTGTCTTTTGATGACTTCGGATCTGGCCTGGGGGACGAAGACATAGGTCTCGCGCTGGTCCTTGGTACCTGAACGGAAGTAATTTACTCTCTTAGTCGAAAGTACTTCCAAGTCAGGAGT